CAGAGAGTGGAGAGAAGGATGAAAACGAGTGTATGTTTGCTGGTAAGATGTGTTTGACAGTTTTTGGTGTGGCAAATTGTGCACTGAGGCTTGTAATTTTATTAGTGAAGAATGTGGCAAAGTCGTCAGCTATTAGAGTTGATGAAGGAGGAGGAGGACAAAGGAGGGAGGAAAATGTTTTAAAGAGCATGTGAGAGTTAGGCGAATTGTTAATTTTGTTGTGATAGTATGTCCTTTTAGCAGTGGAGGCATTAGCAGAGAATGAAGAGAGGAGTGATCGATATATACATTAAGGTCAGTAGGATTTTGTGATTTGCGCCATACTCTGTCTGCAGCTCTGAGCTTAGAACGATGCTCACGGAGAACATCAGCACATTCATTTATCATTTACACAAGCAATGGTGCTAAATATTTGTTTAAATTTAGGTAATTTGTGTTTGAAAATCACCATCTGTGTTCCTTTTTATGGACTGATAGTACCTGTAGCCATTGTGTAGTGGATATTTTATTTTTCCAGTTGGCCAGAATTGTTTTCTTGGTGATATAGAGACAGAAGTAGGGAGGGACAGTAGACAGTTTTGCAGTGACTTCTTTCCAAAATTTAGCCTATAGTAACCAGGGTGCACAACCAGAGAGCATATGGACTTCATCTTGTATATTGAGATTGCAGTGCACACATTTGTTTGAATCTGTCATTCCCATTTTAAACTATTCGTTTTGGGTTAGGTGTGTTCTATGTATTACTTTATATTGGATAAGTTGTATGTTAGTATTTGTGACCCTGGACCACAAAAGCTCTGAAAAGCTCTGTAGGAAATTTACAAAATATCTTCATGGAACATGATCTTTACTTAACATCCTAACAATTTTTGGCATAAAAGAAAATTGATAATTTTGACCGATACAATACAATATTATTTTAATTTTGACCCATACAATATTTTTGGCTATTGCTACAAATATACCTGTGCAACATAAGACTGATTTTGTGGTCCAGGGTCACATTTTTGATGAAACTGAATGTATTTAACCAAACTTGTTTCCAATTTTTATAGTAAAATGGGAATATCCAATTGTAATCATGGATGACTGGATGAGTCATGGAACATTTTTGTGTTTAAGTATTTATTTGTTTATTTATTTAAATGTATTTATTTATTAATTCATCCAAAATCTTCTAAAAGTTTTTGTAATGTTTATTCATCACTTTATTCAGTCGTCCTCTAATGATTGGGATTTTTTGAGTTAATATTGATATGCAATTTATTGTGTCTACTTTAATTAATCAATCAGCACATCATGTAGTTCATTGGAAGCAACTGGTAAATGTTAAAGCAGTTACAGCCTTTATACAGATCATTACACTGGCCTGATCTTGTAAATTCCAACTTGGAATTTAATAGTCAATAGTCTACTTGCATCTTTTTGCTCATATCCACATTTCTCCAGTGCTGATGCATGGAATATGAGCGAGAGCTTTTAACGTTCCCTAGAGAAGTATGTTAAGCACTGGAATAATATCATAATACACTGATCTGCTATGGTTAGTGAAATATTTTGGCTGAATATTTCATGACCATCTGTGGAGAATTATGGCTCTGTTTACATCGGCCAATAAAAATAAAGGAGTATGCTAGAGCCCCGCCTTTTCCCATATTATACTTTAACTGCTGGTTATTCAACGGTTATTGATTTCTCTTAGCTGCAAAATTTAAATTAGTTTGTTTTTGGTCCATCAAAGTCGTGGCCTAATGGTTAGAGAGTCGGACTCGTAACCCAAAGGTTGTGGGTTCGAGTCTCGTACCGGCAGGGATTGTAGGTGGGGGGAGTGAATGTACAGCACTCTCTCCCACCTTCAATACCACGACTGAGGTGCCCTTGAGCAAGGCACCGAACCCCCAACTGCTCCCCGGGCGCCGCAGCATAAATGGCTGCCCACTGCTCCAGGTGTGTGTTCACGGTGTGTGTGTGTTCACTGCTGTGTGTGTGCACTTTGGATGGGTTAAATGCAGAGCACAAATTCCAAGTATGGGTCACCATACTTGGCCACATGTCACTTTCACTTCACTTCAAAGGTTACTACTAATTTCAGGTGAAATGGCTTAAGATCAGCATTTAGGTGAAGTGGCTATTAGAGTGAGGGTCAGAAAACTGTTTATTAGCTTTCAGATCAATGTGCATCTGCTCTCCATACCTGCTGTTTTTGTGTGAATAAAGAAACGTGCACGAAGAGAGAGCAAGTTGGAGGAGGTGTCTCTGGAGAGTGTGTTCATGAAGTGCTTTGGATTGTGCATGCGTTGGCAGACACAATGTGCATGCCAATGATGAGGGGCTCCACTCTCACGCAGCACCACAGGGAATGCACACACTCTTTCTGCATCACAAATACGCTCATCTGACTGGTGGGCTCTTGATGTTCACACACACTTATACACACTCCAGCACAGGCACGCTCGTCCAGTGGATAGGATGTTGACGGTAACACACACGCACAGATGGCAATTGCACCCAGTCTCATGATGAGGTGAGAATGGCACCACTACGTAATTGAAGAAATGTGTCTTGTTCGCCTGAATGGTGCAGAGCAGGATGAACTATAGTGACAGAAATGAGGGGTGGCATTCTGCAGATGATGACGGAATGAAAATGCACGAGAATTGGGAGGGGAAAAAAAACAAAACAAAAAATGATAATGTCAGCTGCGGTTGCTAGTTCACTCCAGGGACAGGAGAGAAAATGTCAGATTGAAATCAACGTGTTCCCACAACTGTTTCCTGCTTCTGAAATCACATCATTTCCAGACCAGTCAATGACATCCTGATAACAGTAATGACAGCTTCTAATGAAAGATGGATGAGATCTGCTTATTTCTGTTGTGTAAATCGATAGTCCTGTTTTTATTGGAACAAGGAGGTGAAGTAATTAGTGACCTTAATGACTGTACTGGATATTCAGTTTCATCTGTTTCTTTTATTGGACGTATTGACAAAATCATAAACAACTGACCTTAAACTGTCCTGTAAAAACTGGTGTGACTGAATAAAAGAGAGAATGCTTTAGTATTTGTTTATTCCCTGAACAATTCTTATTGATACTTCTGTAAAGTACCATAATATTGCTTTGTTTTGTGATTGTGTTTTTCATGATGAAACCATAATATTCTTGTAAGTATGATTTAACTGTCATTGTATATGAAAATGTTAATCATTCAATACCATATAAAAGTAGCACTGTATTTTGATAGTGTCACTGTATCAAGGTACCTCAGCAGTACCTTTTAAAAAAGAATGTCTTAGGAAGGATCTGAATGCATCATTCCGTAAGGTCGCTATTTTGAATGATCCATGGTCGATTTTTCTTTTTCATTGTGACAACAAACTTTCATCTTTACGCACGCCACAGTAGCCACAGCCGTTTTTTTTTTTTTTTTTTTTTAATTAAACTAACAAAATGTGTTGAAATGTAATTTATCTTTTCAGGAGTGTCTTTTAACAGTGTATATACTCAGATTTGGAGGGTGCTACTGCATCTTGCAGTTGATCCATTTCCAGATGTCTCTGATCTGGCCATGAAGGTTCTCAACAGCATCGCATACAAGGTACAGACATTCCTGGGAGCCTAATTACGTCTGCCCCATTTCACTGTGCTCACATATTTATCTGCTGTTTCTTCTTATATCTATATATTTGTATAGATGCATCTAAAAAAAATTTGAATATCGTGGAAAAAGTTAATTTTTTGTAACTTATTTCAAAAAGTGAAACTTTCATATATTCTAGATTCATTAAATGTAAAGTAAAACATTTTTTTAAAAATTTGTTTTAATTTTGATGATTTGAGCTTACAGCTCATGAAAGTCAAAAATCCAGTATCTCAAAATATTAGAATATTTACATTTGAGTTTCATTAAATGACAATCCCTAAAGTGTAAATTCCGGGTATCTCTTGTTCTTTGAATCCACAATAATGGGGAAGACTGCCGACTTGGCAATGGTCCAGAAGACAATCATTGACACCCTCCACAAAGAGGGTAAGTCACAGAAGGTCATTACTGAAAGAGGTGGCTGTTCACAGAGTGCTGTATCAAAGCATATTCAATTCAAAGTTGACTGGTAGGAAGAAATTGGGTAGGAAAAAAGTGCTTAAGGTGTTTATTGTGTTTGAACTAGTTTTGAGTATGGCACACTTGGCAGTGCACAAGGATCTGGCAAGAGCATGTCTGTAGAGAGCGGCATATTTTTGACGAGAGTTTCAAAAAACTGTCAAGGAAAGGTTGTGTGGAATGCCGTTATATAGAGATGGTTTGGGTGTGTTTTATAAAAAAGACTCACCTCGTGCTCACGGCTGCTTATTTAGAATACTCCAAATTCACTAACATTAGAACCAGGTTAAGAAAAATTAATGTGCTTACGCGCATGTTGCGCGTAAGCACATAATACACATAATCTATGCAATTATTAGTAAATAGGACACACTGTGTTTTTAAGAATGTTCACACTTCTCTCTTCCATGTATTGAAAGTGGATGAATGCAATGAAATGGATCAAGGAGGCAATTTTAGCTCTAATCATACATCTTTATTACCATCTGATACCTTTCAATTCCATACTTCCGTACTTTTTTTGTAAGAATCCAGAAATCATGCACTTATGTGTCTAACATGTGTCCACACATACACAAGCCCACATATTACATCTGAGCCTTATACGTCCTACTATTAAACTTTCCACATTCAGCCCTGTTTAAAATAATGATCTTTAAAAAAGCATCATATGACCCCTTTAAGCAAATGCAATTAAAAAGAAATGGCTCCCTGTGGCCTGGTAATATGAGCAGCCGCTCTGAGAGGCACCTGTAAGTTAAGAAGCTAACAACCACCACCACTGACTTCTGTGTCTGAGTATTTGCTGTGCAAGCTGTGTCAGTACCCTGCTTCCTCTCAGACTCCTCATATATGGCCGACGAGTCCCTACTCGTTTTCTATGTAGCTTTACTATTAAGAATGCTGAGGGAACATTCATTCTAGTCAGTTGTTTCGTCCCTCTCCGATATGTTTCGTTGGTAAGTCGAATTAATTATTGGTTTGTTCAGAATGTAAATGAAAAGATTCACATGAATATTTTGGTAATTTTCTGTTCATTGCTATGTATAGGATCTTTTCAATCTTTTCTTTCAGTATAAATTTGTAAATTTGAGGCTTGTTTTTATACCAGTGAATATAAATCAGAAGTTTGATATTGTACCATTCTGATCGTAATTTGCAGTGCTGTGTACTAAACTAGCAGATCTTCAATTTACTGTCATTAGCTTTTTTTCCCTAGGTGTCTTGATAACAAATTCTTTGCTCAAAAGAGTATCTTTAACTGCTTCAAATTATGACTAGCTAGTAGCTTGGCGAACTACATTGTCAAAGCACTTCCTCAAAATTACATTGCTCAAGGGTTTCCAGAAGTTCAGCTTAACTGCTTACTTAAAACAGTGGCAAGCTTTACATGGCCACATTTTTTGGTTTTCTGTTCATTTGAATTCATGTAAGTTCATATAAATTTTGCTGAATTTACTTTTTCAAATCCATGTTCATGATTTTGCCTAAAGCAACACTTAGAAGTTACTTAGAAGTGGCTTCCTATGTGGTTCTCAGAGGTCTGTGAGGCTTCACTAATTAATATATTTGTCATCACATTACTCTCAATTTGACATCATCTAGCATAAGCAAGATGCAGAGAGACTTTGGGAAACATACAGTTACTGCAGACTGATTCGCTTTTTCGCTTTACTAAAAATCTTCTTTTCATACACCATACTGAGTTATGTTTTTAAGTTGAAGCTTGAGTGTTGTTATAATCCCCTGTTACGGAGTTCAAACTGAGGAGGGGTAGTCGGAGTTCCCAAAATCCTCTGACAGAGTATCAGACATTCTTGCTTGTTTTCTCAGGTCTGCTTGCATCATTTTGAGCCTGATTGCAGCCAAATAACTAACAATGGAATTTCATTTTTGAAGCAGACTTTTAAAGTTTTTTTTTTTTTTTTTTTTGATTACCAGCTACATAAGCACTTCAGTGATTTTTGTTAGACACTGATTAATGTTGAAAAGTCTATAAACCATGATTGCAGAATTTTCAAAGGTTGTTTAAATTTCCAATAATCAAACTTGTTTTGTCTTTGACCTTTCTTAAGTTCCTGAGCAGCAGGTGACAATGAGTGCCTATTTGTCATGCTGACATTTGTGCTGTGAAACTCAGATAGACCTGCTGAGTCCAGTCAGTGCAAAATAACAAACACACACACAAACACCCCTCTATCAGAGCCTGTTATGTTCTAACTTATATTCTAGTTTACTCATACTAGCACTAAAAGTACAGTATAACTTCACTGATGAAAGGAAAGTGCATCATTTTAAGTATGCAGAAAGACAATACACCACCACTGAGAGTGATATACTACTACAATACAAAATTGAATCTGGTTACTACAAATCCTACTAAAAAACTACTAGAAATTAAGAGAATTTTTTTTTGACTACCAATTGCATACTACTGTATTTAGGACAGCAGTGCATTCAAATAACTAACTTTAATGATCTAGGATCTGACTTTTCATGTTTACAGTTCAAGTATATATAAACTCAATCTCACATGAGAATCGGATAAAATGAGCTTATATTTTGTGTGTAAGTATAGTGTTGTTTAATGGTGCTCCACCCCCGTGCCATTGTGATGCCTCTGCTTTTATCCTTCTAGATTAGATCTTGTATTTAAATAATACAACAGATTTGGATTTAGAGGAAAACATAGCAGCAAACTATGAAATTATGTGTTTGTGCAAACTACGTTAAATAAGAAGTATCATTTTAGGGCATCATACAGTATACGCTCATGATGATGCATGGCTTTGCTAAAAGGTAAGCATCTTAATTATCAAAATGCTCTGTGACAAGCTAGGTGGGGGGAAAAAAAAAACAAATCAAGTGGAAATGCATTTGCCCTTAATTTAGTAATAAAAATATTTAAAAATGTGTAATAAAAACAAATTATTATAACTAATATTTTTAATGTGTGAAGCATTTGTGATTTTTAAAGTATCATGCTGCTAGCTTATCAACATAGTAGCAGGAAACTATGTTAAAGCCTTAAGGACTTAAACTACAGAACATATGGAAGATTGCTTTGACACTTTTAGTGTAGACACCCTCAAGCCACTGCGGTGCTTAATGTCAGTGGACACTCAGTCTTATAGCAAGGCAAATCGCTAGATTTTGGAACATAGCTAGTGTCTCTCTTTTATGGGGATTGTAACTAAGAACATAAATGTATTTATTTATATCCAATTTATTTGGTCTTATAAATATTTTTTCTCTCTCCTCCTGACCCTATCACTGATTATTGTTTACATTTCAATAATCCATGTCATATCTTTTCAATATTCATATCTATTTTCTTTTATAACTTAATGAATCTGTGGGAGACAAACACAGTCATTTTAATGTTTGATCTGCAGCCCAAACACAGAATAACTTTATTTCCGTCTACTCAATCATGATGAATCTACCTCTCTTTCGCTTCCCAGCAGGTTTTAGCATATAAATCAGATTAGACCATCTCTCCAGATGGCAGTGAGAGGATGGGATTGTTAACTAGATTTAGATGAAGCAGATAAGTCAACTTGCTGTGTTTTTATAAACAGCACATTTTCAGATTTTTACCATTTTAGGCTGTGATTATAGTTATGAGGAAGAGTTTTGCTGTTACTTTTGTCTCTAGGATTGCAGCTCAAACAGAGATGCATTCTCTATATTTGCACACATTAACTTTTACTACATTTTACTTACAATACTACGGGGCCACCAGAAAGTTTTTTTTTCTTCTAGCACTTAGATACACAACTTTTAAATGGCACAGTAGTCACTGCTGTACAGGTAGAGTAGATCATAAATTTAGACTGTTAATGTAGGTTTTCCTTGAATTTTTGCTGCTTTTGATGTACTCACACTGCAAAAAATGATTTTCAAGCTTAGATATTTTGTCTTGTTTCCAGCCAAAATATCTAAAAATTCTTAAATCAAGAAGGATTTTCTAGACAAGTAAAAATTATTGTCTTGCTTTCAGAAAAAAACAAGTCAAAATTAAGTGAATTTTTGCTTGAAACAAGCAAAATAATCTTGTTTTCTGTTTGAAATAAGATTATTTTGTTTACCCCATTGGCAGATTATTTTGCTTGTTTCAAGCAAAAACTCACTTAATTTTGACTTGTTTTTTTTCTGAAAACAAGACAATAATTTTTACTTGTCTCGAAAATCCTTCTTTATTTAAGAATTTTTAGATATTTTGGCTGGAAACAAGACAAAAAAATCTAAGCTTGAAAAGCATTTTTTGCAGTGTAGGGCTATGTGATGCACAGTTTTAGACTTTTACATTTTTGTAATGCATCTGCCTTCTGCCACTGCTTCTCACATCAGGCCACCATGAACGCTCGTACACAGAGGATTCTGGACTCAGGATCTCTGACCCAATCAGCACCTGCCAGCCCCACCAGCAAAGGAACATTCATACATCAAGCAGGGTGAGTTATAAATACTTAAATATGTATTTAATTTGCTTAAAATCAGCGTCAGGACCGTATAGTAACCTGGAATGATTTTTTTTTTAAATAACAGGTGACAAAGCAGAATGTAATAGCTTGTGCATTTCTCTTATTTTACTCTCCTTTGCATTTATTTGCATCCTGCTCCTTTTGGAATATGTTTATTGGCTATGCTTGGCTATTGCTGTTGATTTTGTTTTAACATGCAGCATTGCAATGCATGCTGGCCCTGTTCTTTTGCAGCACATTAATCTGTGTGTTATGGCCATGCTTGTTGGTGTTGTACTGCTTCCCACAGATCCAAACGCTCTTCATCTCCCTCCAGCGGATCTCCACCTATGCCTGGTGTCTCCAGCTCCAGCCTCATCAATGAAGTGCCCAAACCGCCGGTCCGAGAGGGGCCGCCCTCTCGTCCACCATACACACCAACGCTGGGTGGTCAGGCGCCCCACTCACAGCAGTTCCCACGCACCAGGAAGATGTTTGACAAGGGCCCTGATCAGGTAAAACAGTGATATTGGTTTCCCACAGATCTATCCACAACCAGCTGTACTGTCTATTTGACATGTCAAATGATTTAGGAAAACTGTATTTTGCATCCATGTGGTTTTCCTCTTTTGTGAATCCACTAACAATGATACCACTCATAGCCCAGTGTCCAAGGCCTTGGATGCCTTCAGTATTAATTTTATATACAGTCATGGCCAAAAGTTTTGGCAGTGACATAAATTTTGTGTTTCGCAAAGTTTGCTGCTTCAGTATTTGTTGACTATTTTTCCACGTTTCTATGGTATAATGAAAAACAATGATAAGCATATCATAAGTTTTAAAGGCTTTTATTGGCAAAAAAATAGAATGAGTCAATATTTACAGTGTCGACCCGTGTTCTTCATAACCTCTGCAATTCGCTCTGGCATGCTGGATATTAGCTTCTGGGCCAAATCCTGACTGATGGCGATCCATTCTTGCCTTATTAGTTCTCGGAATTTATCACAATTTGTGGGCTTCTGCTTGTCCACTCACCTATTGAGGACTGACCACAGGTTCTCTATGGGACTGAGATTAGATTAGTTGCCTGGCCACGGATCCAAAATTTCAATGTAATGATCAATGTAATGATGATGCACTTGTTTATCACTCTTGCTTTGTGACATGGTGCTCCATCATGCTGGAAAGTGCACGGATCATCACCAAATTGCTCATGGATCATTGGAAGAAGCCGCTCTTGCAGGGCGTTTTGATACCATTCTTTATTCATGGGAGTGTTTTTGGGCAGAATTATGAGAGAGCCCACTCCCTCGGTTGAAAAGTAACCCCACACATGGACGCTGTCAGGATGCTTCATGGCACAACACAGGACTCA